TAGAAGGTTATTGTGAATAGGCACAGCAAAACTCAAAAATCATGTATAAATACTGAAGCACAAGGTTATTCATGTGGTCTGGTTTAACTCACATCTGTATCAAATACTGTAAAATGAATGTGGGAACTTGTTTTGCACCTCTCGTCCATAGTTTATATGGTATTGTTCCTGGTGATTGTTTCATTTAAACATAATAGAGAACTTTCTTAGTTTAAGGGTGATGAAACGCTTGAAGAGGTTGGTCAGGGAGGTTGTAGAGTCTCCCTCCTTGGATATACTCAAAATCCAACTGGATATGGTCCGAAGCAACCTGCTGTAGCTGAGCCTGCTTTGAGCAGGGGGAGTGGAGTGGATGATCTCCAGAGGACCTTACCAAGCTCAACTATTGTGTGATTCTACTTAGGGTTTCTTTGTGTTTATTAATTAAAAAAAAGTCTTACACCAGCAATACAAACGTGAAAATTCCTGCCAAGTCACAGCAGGACTACTAGAATACTTCAAATTAAGAATGTGTTAATAAAATCAGGACCAAAATGAATATTCTGAATCCCAGTTCTTTCTTGCTTATCAATCTGTTTTTTTTTTTTTTTTTTTTTAGTGGATAGACTTGTCTTAGTGTCCTAGTTTGGATGAGGTGATACAAAAGGTCCTCCTTTGAGTTTGTTCACTCCGCCCTCCCGTCAGCATATACCATGTGTCTTGTAACTTCAGCCTTGAAAAGCTGCCTTAAAGTCTTGCTTCCTACCACCCTCTGGTATGGGACAGTAGGTATGTTAGTAACTCTCTCCAAGCAGATGGAATATTTTTATCTTTACTATGTAGGTGGCGTGTGTTTTCTCGTTTATTGTTTTACCGTTGAAGTCATCCCTGCTTAAATACTGTTGTACTTTTGCATGAATAATGTTTACAGGTAATGGGGTTGATTTGCCTTGTAGAAGAACTTGGGAGCAGGGGAACACTGATATTCTGGAAGACTCTTCAAGAGAGGTTTCCTGAGTTCTGGAAAGTGCATTTCACCACATTTGATAGGGATGTGATTTGTTCTACTTCACCTGGAATTTTTAAAGGTTCTCAAGTCTTAGGTTTTTTTGGTTCACAAACCTTTCCAAGTTCAAGGATCTCTTACTTGAAACATGTAAGAGTTCTAGGAGGTATGTGTTTGAAATGGTGCCCTTTGTCAAACATACTGCTTCCTATGCATGTCTGAGCTGCGCCAACTCCTGATGTTGTTGATGCTGCTGTTACTTCTTTGCAGTACGGTGATTGAGTGCGCAATTTCATAATTTACAGCTACTGCACAGAGTTGTTTTTTTCTTCTGTATCAACAGCTTCCAGCAATTCTTGAGCTTCACAGAGCTGTTTGCCTTAATCTGGTTAATTGCAGTAGTGTGACCTCAGGATCTTCATATCTAAGGAGATGAAAAGAGTCATGGAGCATTTTGGCTCAAAGATTGCTCTGCATTCCTTGAAGAGTTTAAGGAAATTGCTTATCCCCTCTCTTCCTAAGAAGATGAAAGCCCTAAACATAAATCTGAGAACCAATCCCTTGATTATTCTTTCATTATTATCTCCCTTACCCCCTGTCAGTATAGCTTATTACCTGTTGAATGTTTAAATCCTTCTGCAAGGAGATTATAGGTAGGCTGTTTTGAGTGTATTCCAGCATGCTGTTAGTTAGCAGAGGAGTCTCCACTAAATGTTTGCATTTAATGATTTTACTCAACCTTCAGTCATGTTTCTGATTGGGTTGTATTCTGTGTTTGAAATAAGAGGACTGTTTTAGCTATCTGTGGGTGGATTTGACAGCTAGTTGTTCAGCAGCAGAACAGCATTCTTCTTGGTTGGTGGGGTTTTTTTGTATACTTTTTCCTTATCTTGATACTTATATCTGGCGTATTTTCTATATTTATATCTATTTACTTTGAATCCATGCTTGTCTTTCATTTCTAATACTTACCTGCCATGGCAGCTTAATTATTAGTTCATTTTTTTTAACTGAGGGTTTTTTCAGTCTGGCAGTACTGACTAGCTCCAAACAATATAATTTCTAGTCCAGCACTGGCTTTGAAATTGCCCAAAGCTGTTACTGCCTAATGATTCCATAGGCTCAAAATGCCTGCATCATTGCTTCCTTTCATAAGAAGCTTTTCCAGAGTCTGCTCAGGATCTACAAGCTTTTTTTGTGTTGAGTGTAGTCAAGTACATGGATGTTAATCAGTCTTCCAGGATACAGTGCTTTAAAAAAAGGAATTGCTCTTGTTGTCGTACTGGTTTTGATTGCTAGCTGCCTCTTGAATCTCCACTACTTTAGTTCTGCCAGTTATTTAAACTTAGTGTAATTATTTTTGGCATTAGGTTGGGTACAGGCAATTTATTTTAGATGTTGATGCCTCAAAGGTTTTATTGTTTGAATTGTCACCTATCAATTTACACTGTCACTTCTTTCCTCATGGCATGTTTTGTAGTCCAGCCAGCCTATTGAAACTAACGTGTTGTATACAACTGTATTGAATTATTTTCTTCCAGTTAATGAACTTTAGAAAATGCACTTTAGAAAATGCCCTGTTATCCTCTGACTTCTGTCCAGATGTCGTGCTGCAGAAATACTATAATGGGAAAATATAGATAACACGGGTCCTATAGGATGATGTGAGAAGTGTAATGCAGACACAACCAAGTGATTTAATGCAGCTAGCTTCTGTCCAGTGGGATTTGAACTGCATGCACAGCCCTAGACCTGCTGGTCCTCTTGGGACTTCTTTGGGACGAAGTGTTTGTCAACTTCCCACACCTTCCTGTGACAGGTTTTACAACAGCTTATTTTCATGAGGGCCTAGAATCCTGGCTCGTGGTAATGAAATACCCAAGCAGCTTTTTGTTGAGCCGTATCTAGCTCAGTTGTGGTTAATAAACCCATCTGTTTGATTGTATGGAGTTACCAGAGTCTGTTTCCTGTTCAGCAGTGCAGAAGCATACAGACTAACTCCTTGTAGATCATGTGGTTCGGTTGCTGCTATGTGAAAATACACCTGACTTTTTCAGTTGGAACTTGCCTGCAAGCAGGGCTCATCTGCCCTTCAGAACCATGTCCTCTGAAAGCTGGGAGATCTTTCAGGACAGCTTTCTCTAAGTCCAGTAATGATCCATCCCAGTAGTTAGGAAAACAAGCAGATGTGTCAAGAGACCAGATTTGCCAAATAGGGAACCTATAACTGAGTTCTGGTGGGAAGGGTGAGGAGAGAAATGAGCACCCATGGATTTAGATGAGGCTGAGAGTCTCGGTGCCTGCTCTCTGTTGATCTTCACAGAAAGTCTCGTGGGCCTTTGTACCTGGAAATGGGATTGAAGGAGTGAATCTAGTAGTACTGCAAGAACATTGATGGATCTCTTGAGAAATGCCAGGTTGATGGGATTGGGTGGGATGCTTCTGAGGGTGCTGAGAGAGCTAGCTAACATCACTGCAAGCCAGCTTTCTCTTTGAATAGTTGTGGAGATCAGGGGTGGGCCTCAATGACTGGAGAAAGATGTGTTGCAGCCATTTTCAGGAAGGGCGGGAAGGTTGATATTGGGGAACTGCAGGCTGGTCAGCGCACATGGGTCCCTGAGAAATTGTGGAGCAGGTCTGCTTGGAAGCCATTCCTAGGCGTATGAAGGTGAAAACAGCAATTAGGATTAGCAAGTGTGGATTTACCAAGGGTACTTGTCAACCAGATCATCTGCTGTGATGGAAAGACTCGAACTGTGGTTAAGGAGAGAAAAGCAGTGATGTCGTCTGCGTTGTCTTCGACAATGCTTTCACCATTGTGTCCAGGAGCATCCTCATGTCTCATTTGGAACATTACAGTCTAGATCAGACTTCTAGGTGGATAAAAAAACAGTCTGGATCATTGTGCTCAGAGAGTCTGAGAGAATTGGGACATGAGTGGCCGGGCACAAGCAGGAAGGCGCCCTCGGCAACTTTGCAGCCCTTCCGTATGGAGGGATGCGCAGTCAGTATGTTCGAATACATGGCTGCTGTCTGGAGGGACCAGTATTTCTCAAAATTCATAACAAAAGACAAAACCACTTTTCTGTAATATAGAACACCAGGTGAAGAAAAGGGAATAAGGTACTACCACTTCTTTGTTGTATTTCTGAGATGAAACAGCATCTGTGGCTTTGTTTGGAAAATCTGAAGTTCTGCATTCTCCTTCAATGCTGAAATCCATGCATATGTGTGGATACCTCTTTGTTCTGGATGAATGCTTTGTGGTTTTGTTTCGTAAGTTAAAAGTTGAGCTGTAGCAAGCCTATATCAGAAAAGGCTGGAAGGTATCATTTGCAATTGTCTAGCTTTTTTTCTTTTTGTAAATTCTAACCCCATCATTGAAATTCTTCAGGGAGAAATTTGTGGGCAGATCATTCCTCTAACTTGATCTGTAACACACTGTTGAATTTTGTCTGAGAATTACTTGAAAGTCTTCATTTTGTGTTCCTGGATTACATTTGACAATATGATTCTAAAAATGTTGCATGCTCTTCCTTTTCTGTTGCAATTACTGCAGAAAGACAATATAACTGGTAATGAAATAGCTAATAGTCACATGGGATGTTTATTGTGTGCTTTCTTGGTGGTTTGGGGGGGAGGTTTGTTTGGTTGATTTGGGTTTGGTTTTTTTTTAGAAAAGGAACATGACCCCAGTTACTCTCTCTTACTCTATCTCACATCAGCTGTGTAGAACCTCTAAAGGCTAGGTGAAAGATAAGGTGGATAATTGGGAAAAACTGAAGTTTTAGACTTGGTGCTTTTGCTGGTGGTGAGGAATCACACCAGCATGACATGACACTTGACTCATGTCACGTAATATTTAGAGATTGCACATGAAGTTGTTACTGGAAGATTGTATATAGGAAGTTTTTATGAGCATTTGATGCAAGGCATGCTGCTCTGAAATGTATGAAATTGCCTCTGTAGAGCAGTTTGTGTTTCAAGTTGCTTTGTACGAGTAACTCTTGTTTTGTTTCAGATTATGGAGCTCTGTGGTGCAACAAGACTTGGCTATTTTGGAAGAAGTCAATTTTACATTGCTTTGAAACTTGTTGCTGTGGCCCAGTCTGGTCTCCCTCTAAGAGTGGAAAGCTTAAATACAGGTAAATCACAGAATCGGGACAGAATTGAGTTGCGGAGTGGAACTGCTGTACTTGGCTCACAGCTTCTTGTAGAATAACCTTGTAGATTAGTGTGGTATGTCTTTTTATACATGTTGCTAACTTAAAAAAAAAAACTAGGAAGACACTATGAGGGAGTGTATTCTTAGTGTGCAATAAATGAAGTGAAATACCTTACTCTGAAGTATTGTGTTCATCATGGGGTAAATGAACAACTACTACAGACTATTGTGTAGGTACAAGTTTATTGTATAGATTACTAATGTGAGAACTTGTGTGCTATATCCTCTGAGTATAGTACTAATAGGACTAATGTGAATTGGAAGGAAACGAAGAATGCAACATTTGCAGCCTTTTGTAGCCGCTGAGTTTATGGAGCCTTGATTGCAACAAATGAAAGGTCATCTTTTGTAAAGTCACATTGCTTTCACACTTGGCTTGAGTTTTCTCCCTTCTTAGTGCAGATATGAAGATCAGTGGTTTAAGATTTTTCTAGTGAAAAACCCAACCTGGAAAAGATCTTTGAAGTCTGTTATCAGCCAAAATGCCTGTTATTCTACTTTTCCAAGGTCAGCTGTGGTGTGAGTTGTGAAATAGGAACTGGAGAAAGACTCACTCTAGGAAGATGGCTCAGAACAGCAGAAAGAGCTTTGATATGAGGCTCTGCTGTAGCCTTCTGAGTGACATAAGTGGATCCATGTCAGTGTTGCTCTGTAAGATGCAGAGAGACTTAGGAAGATGAAGTAGTGAGTTGTGAGCCACCATAGCCCTTTGCAGTGTAGTACACAACTCACAACTTAAAAATATCTTTGGAGCACAGCTTTTGCATTCAGATGACTTCCTTAGTAGATTTTATGTCCGTAGAATACATGTTGTGATATCATTTATAGATGCTAGTAATTAAAGTAAAGCTTAGGAGTGTTTTGTGTCTAAAGGATATAGATTAAACAGTAGTTAAGGAGACTATGTTAAAAACAATCTGATAGGATTGAAGTATTTGATGAAACTACAAAATGGTTCCTTTTTTATATACTTTTACAGTTACATTTATTCTAGGCTCATACAAACAGTATGTACTGCTTTCATGGGGTTTTATAGCTTTTTGGAAAAATAAATGGTTTCAGTCAATGTTTTGTTAGTATTTGAGTTCCTTTCTGCTCATAAACCACGCTATGTTTATAAACTGTTTCCCTATATTTCCTAATGATTGTTCCCAAATCTAAAGCTTCAGCAAGTTGTAGCACAATGCCCTAGAATTAGAAAGTTCGAAAGGGACCTTTGACTCTTAATATCTGATAGTACTGGGACTTGATATAACAATTCTGGGATTTCTCATCAAATGCCTGTTGAAGAAGGCAAAGACTAAAACCTGTGTATGTAGCATTTTCCAGGGCTTTTGTGTGCTTGGTTTTATTTTAATGCAAGCTACTTTAACTGGAAGGAGCTTTTCTGTTTAAAAAAAAAACATATCGGAAGGAATTTAAATGAAGGAATTGAAATGAAGATACAGAATTAATTCCAAAATAAGAACTACGTTGCTGTAAAATTGGTAGCCATTGGAACTTTTATAATGGAATACATTTCCTTGATTTATGACAATACTAGAAATACTTGCATTGGTTTCTGGACTTCTAGGAATGATTTTTCTGTAGCTGGTTCCAAACCTACTAAATACAACAAGTACAATTGATAGAACATTTATTTTTACCCTAACTGTTTTTAGCTTTGGCTGTCTGTTGCCTTGGTTGCAGCGGTTCCAGTCCTGTCTATGAAGTTCCTGTTCCTAGGATGATTCAAGTGTTGTCGTAGCAGCTACTAAACAGCTAATATACACCAGGCTGAAGACTCAGAAAATGATTCTGAGCTTGTGTTACCTTCCTTTGAAAACTGGGCTTCAGCAGCCTGGCTAGCTGGATTCTGCCCACATTCTATCTCCAAGAGGGCTTGAAGAGGAGCTGTTAGAGCCATCCCAGACTGAATCGTATACTCTTTGTCTTCAAGTAAAACATTTAAAATTAGTTAAACCTTATATTTTAGGACATCTACTTTTTAGCTCCGCAGTCTATGCGTGTTTTATTCAGTGATTTTCTTAATGTTGTTCACTCATTGTCTTGGAATTTTCTCTCCGCTTCTCATGTTTCTTTTGCTTTTTGATTCACTGTGTGTCTCTTCAGGAGACAGGAAGCTTGCTTTATGTGAGTTGCTGAGTGCAGACTACAGTCAAATATTGAGGACCAAGTCCAACCAACACAAATGTCATCTAGTTGATTCTTAGTTAACCAAGTGCTTTATTGATTACTCAGATGTGCAGTGTAGTAAAAATACTGGCTTTAGTTATTATACTACAGGCCTCTAAATCTGTTGTTCCTTTGCTGTCCCAGAAAATTGTCCTTCCAGGAAGCTAAAAATCGAGAAATTAATGAGTGGTGTCAATTTCAATATAGAATATAGTTTTTGGTGGAAGAAAAAGTTAACAAGGATGTGGGCATAAAAAGTATAGAGACCTTTCAAATTTATTCAATATCAATATTTAATTCCATTCATAACAGCTATTACATTTATAATTGAGGCATTTCTGAATGGTAACAGAAGTTGTAGTGTTTAAGTTTTTCTGCTGTTATGGGGAAAGAGAGGAGAGAGGAAAAAATGGCAGATTTCAATTTGCTGTACAGAAATTTAGTACAGCAAAACAAATCTATGTTTGTCTATTCTTGTTTTTAAAGAAGACAAGAGTGTTTTGTGTTCTTTGAGCCCTCTGTATTATTTTGTGAAGTAGTGCTAGATATCTCATGCCAAAGCCTCATGTTGGAACAACCGATTGCATAGACTTTCCCTCTCTGTTGGATGTTCTAGTGTCTGTATTATCCCTTGTTTTGTAGGCATACAAATTTTAACATGTATGCAATGGCTTTTTGACTTCTTTGCTGGGGGTAGTTCACTACTTAGCTATGTGAATCACTTTCCTAGGGCAACATGGCATACAATGTTAGTGTGAAAATTGGCATCTAGGAATGAGGAAGGCATCAGGAATTGCTTTAACAGTATTTCCACATGATGGGTGACCGCAAACTTAGTAAAGAGGCTGTGTTGCACGCTGCTTCCCTGTGATGAAAGCTGTTTGGCACACTGAATTTTGCTTAATGACAGAGGCTTAAATCAAGAATTTATATTCTTACGGGAGCGTTGTTCTTTAATGCTGGATACATAAAGATGTCTATGCGTGCATAGTTGTTGAATACTATGAATTCAAATGACATTCTTCAAATGTGAATCAGTTTAATGTTTAATTTTTATGTAATAAACTGTATGCAATTTCATCTTATATTTTAATACAGTTGGTGGTACCACTGACTCATTTTCAATACCAAAGATAATCGATGCAAGCAGGCAGCAAGACAAATCAAATTTTAGCCATGTTTGTAAATTTGTTTTGTGTTGGAAAAGTTATTTCCAAGTAAGCTGTACAGCATACTCACAATTTATTTTTATTCACAGTGGACCAGTAAGGAAGTTGTGGTTGGGATTCAATTGAAGCCTCATTTTTGTATCAGACTGCTGTCATATGGTACATGAAGCTGAGGACCTCCTAGCATTTTCTAGAAACTTTGTTTTATAGGTGTTTGTAACAAAGTGAGGTGATACTGAAATGTTCCCCGTTGTATCCCAGTAAAACGGCTAATTTAGCTTCTGTTGTAGAAAGGTGTACACAGATGTGTTTAAGCAATAGTTGCAGTTTTTGCCAGAAGACTAGATTATATTATCTGTTGTAAATATGACATCAGCTCACTAAAAGATGATGTTGAATGTACTTCAGTATTTTAGCATTTGTTTTGCTGATGAGCTATTCTGTATGAAGACACTGTAATTTTATATATATGCTAGAAATGGTAGATAAATTTTGGAAATCACACTCCAATAACCGAATGTTGACAAAACAAAGAAAAAATGAGCTAAATCCAGATTATCTGATTGCGACTGCATTTAATGAAGAGTTGTAGTACAAAACTGTTATGGAGCTATGTGAAGTCGTCTTTGTGTACCAAAACCAGAACTTGGGTAGCAGAATCGTGAAGTGTAATGGAGAAAGGGTATTTGCTTTTCTTCCAACTGGCAGATGTTGGCTTGACTGTAGCAGCAGTCTCGTTTGAGTGATTGAGGCACATGTGAAATTTTAACTACAAAATAGAACTGCATTTTTATTTTTAAGCGTCATACTTCTGTGCAGTAAATGGCCTGCTTTATTTTTTTTAACAGTAAAGGACCTTCCTCTTCCCAGATTTGTTGTGTCAAAGAATGAACAAGAATCAAGACACACAGCCTTGTATTCTTCAGATGCTGATAATCCACCTTCATATTCAGGTGTGATTCCTCCTCCACCTGGCAGGATACAAGTCAAAAAAGGCTCTGTGAGCCATGATGCAGTTCAGCAACGTACATCAAATGATCAACAGGTAAATTAACTTAAAAGATTTAATGGGACTCTGAGGCACTACTTTGCTGCATAGGAGTCAGTTTGATAGGGCTTCTAAGCTTTGTTGCTTTCAATACAGTTTCTTAAAAAAAAGTTCATACTGATGTATATTATACACGAAGACCACATGCTTCTGAAATGTTTGCATGTAGTAGACATTTTTTATGAAGTCTTATAATCTGTCTTTAAAATACTGGTGGTAATGGACAAAGAATTGAGACAGAAAAGAAAATCAATATGTAAGATAATGATAGCAAATATCAAGTTGTAAGCATTATGATATTAATACTTTGTTTATTAGGTAGTTCACATTGGCTTCCTGGTCATTGGAACAGTGGTAGTAAATGCCGTGGAAGACTGGATTTCTAGTCTTCAATGTGCTCTAATACATTTAAATTTTAAAAATGTCACAGTTCCTTTTCTCTGCCTCATAATTTTGTTGTTCATCTCTTTAAGTGTTAAGTAGAGACAATGTGAAAACTTCTGTCTTATTTCTGGTTCTCATAGTTTTTTTATTGTGCTCTAATAATGAGAAACCTGATTTCCTTCTGCTCGCTGGGTATGTGAACAAATGAAAACTGTAAAGGCTTACAACTGTGTGCCTCCTCATAGGTCCTTGTTTTTTGTAGTCTTTACACTCTCTTTCCATGGGGGAGTCTTTTCTGATTGTCGTTTCTACAAGCAAGAACACGGAGCACAAATACTAAATTTTGCTGGTAGTATGTGCATAACTGTTGAATGACGTGTTTTCTTCCCTATGGTATGCTCTTTTCTGGGTTTGTTTTGTAAAGAATCAAGGAACTTGCAAACATCCCTTAATCTCTCGGGGAAGCAAGGAATCGCTCATAAGCGTTTATTAATCTCTCTGGCAATAGTTCAGACTGATCCGATATAAAGAGAAAGCAAATTAGCAGAGGCCGTCCATAATCAGTGTTTGGCTGCCACTTCCTCTTTCTCAAACTGGAGATGGAGACTGTAATGAAAGGAGGGCTGGCAGTAGACCTGAAGATAGCTTCTTGTTGTCTGCTTTTGCGTAGGTGCGTTTGAGAGAGCTCCCAGGCACTTCTTGGAGAAACCAATAATCATAGATCTACTTGATCTGATGATGGGATTTTAATTTGATTAAAGTAGTATTTTGTATGCTTTTTTTTTTTCCCCACGATGTGAACAGCTGTAATTTGATACAGGAATCTGTACTGGTGTAACTTTAAGAAAAAAAAAATCTGGTGTTTGAGGTCTTCAGGTTCTGAATAAAGAAGCCACATATTTACAAAGGTGTTTAAGCATCAAAATTTCATTTCTTAATCTTGGCTGATAGAAGCAACTTGATATCTCTTTCACATAAGTCTGGATGGGATCATTAGAATGCAGAAACTCTGTAAGTCCTTCGAGAGATCTGGCCCAGAAAACGGACTTGGAGCAAGTGTAACAGACAACACAGCATTGAGTCCAGCAGTTTTAAGCTGTATTCATGGTCTAGAACATCAGGGAAGTATTATCTAATTTTGCATCGTATTGTAAAACTGCATTTTCTGTGGCTGATTCTACATTTCTAACTGTACAATCAGTCCATTCAAGCAGCCTTCTTGTCCCAGTCTAATGTTTGGTGATTTGGACACCATGTTAGAAACAAGCTGACAGAGGGGGCTTGAGCTCAGGTTTCTTGCTTAACCACATGAATATTGTCATTTGGTTATTTTCCAGAAGACTGATACAGCTTTTATCCACGTTTTTGTAGAAATTGCTGAATCAGTTGTCTTTACCTGGAGATACCACTCAGATTTATAAAATCTAGAAAGAGCTTCAGACTGAATTCTCATCATATGCCACCTCTTTCAGTGATGAACATGAGAAGTAAATTACAGCATGTCATTTTCCTGGGAATCGTTGTTCTTTCTGGAAGAATGTTACTATCAAAGTTAAGCTTGGATATTTTACTCTTAGAGCTTGTCATGTAGGTGTTAGACACTCCATTAGTGAGTTTGGGATTTTGGTTGGTTTTTTTTCTTCTTCTTAAACTGTTTACTGGCTTTAACATGCCTGGCACTTCAACATACATTGATTTCATAAAATACTCTGAAATATTGTTTGTATGATATTGTAACATATCTTTGTCTTTAAGAACTGGGTTCATTGATGTGAGCTTTCCATATTGGTGAGATGTCATGTGGAGGTTAATATCTTACAATTACAAATATTTATGTAAAATAATTTCACTTAGAGTATTGTCTACTGGAATGTTGTAGCTAAAACTGTTTCTTTATTAATGTATTATTTTGGCAGTTCCCCTCAATGAGCTTCACTTGGAGGCAGGGCATCAGCAAATGGCAATCAGGTATTTCCAGAGAGTAGCTATAGATGAGGTCATCTTTTGAAGTAAGCATGAGCTAAGTTCAGTAACATCCTTCTTCTATCTAGCCATTTTTGCGGTGGCATTCTTAGTTTATAATGCCTAAAGTATAATGTATATAACAATATATGTAAATAGATGTAGATATAGCATTGGCCAGAAGTTTATATCTTTTTAATGCTGTGAGTGTTAATAGAAGATGACTGAAGTCACGCCCAGCTGTTATGGAAGCTGCAGAACTGATTCTAGGAGTCAAGCCAAATAATGAAAAGATGCCTTCACTCACTAGACTGTACATCCTAGTGGAGGTAAAACATTTGGGGGAAGTATTTTTTTTTTTCTGCTAGCATACTTTCTTCTTCCTAAATAACAGAGGCTGAGTTGGGGTTTGGACTAGATGACCCACAGAGGCCCCTTGCAACCCCTACCATTCTGTGAGTAGATTTGCACACTTCTGCTGACAATGTGACATCTATAAGAGCACTTTTGTTGACATACATGTGTTAACCATGGTATAAATACATATCTCTATACCTTGGTAGTAGCAGCTATGCTACTAAGAATGTTAATTTAGGCCAATCTTGAGAATCTAGATTCTGGTGAGTTCTTGTGCTTTTTTAAAAGAAATCCTCCTAGTAGAGTTAGGAGCTTTCATTGTAGATGGAAGCTTTTTTGGCTGCCCCCTCCAAGGAATTAGAGAAACGTACTGAAAATAGTTTCTTAGAAGAAGCAGCAATATTGAGACTAGGAAGTATTTTCTGTCTTCTAAAAGTAGCTTACAAGTGACTACATGTTCTCAATATCAGTCTGTTAGATATTGCCTTGGGATTTTTTTTGTTAAAGCCAAAAAGCAAATACTTTTTCTGATGTCTTTAAGTGCGATCCAGGTGTTGACCAGATGTGCTTTAGGATACTTTCACCTTGGCTTGCCACCTTTTCCATGAAAGGGGGGTAGCTAGTTTCCATAGAATTTGAGGCACTAACAGCTAAAAAACAAGTATGTGGCAAATGCTCATAGGCTGAACTTTGCTATATCCAGGTGCAAATAAAAGGTAAGGCTGAAGATACTCATCTACCTATGTGTACATTAAGCATCATGCTGGCACTCTAGATTATATTGATTCATTGCCACATCAGTGCAGCCTTAGAAGAGGACAGCTTAAATTTGGCACCTGTAGCAGTCAAAATTTGATAATTTCAGCTTCTAACTATGTGAGAACTTGTGTGACTTCCTTTTAATGTTTTGCCAGTAGTCCATTTCTGTTTGCTTCTGTTTTGTTGATTTACCTGGTAATTCCAGGTAAAATACACCTATTATTAAATAAAATGTTTAGGAGCACTGAGCTGGAAAAGACCTTGTGTCATTGAGTCTAACCCTCTATTATATTGAGAAATTGTGTTAGGTAATGAATTTAAAAAAAATAATCAGGGTTCTCTCCTGAAATCGCAACCTTCTATCAGCACTGGCCATGTTGGGGACAACTGTTCCAGAGCCTTAGTAGGAATATAACGGAATATTCGTGGGAAGATGGTGGGAATTCCCACCTAACTTTGCTTAGATCAGGTAATACCTGTTCTTTTAAAAGCTTCGTCCTTAGTATTTGCTGCAGAATACCACCCGTATTTACCAGAAAACCATCATATTCCCCCTTAGCTTTGTTTTACTTGACAAAAAAAATCCATGGTCTCAGTTTCATCTCAAAGTAGTTACCAGTAATCCTCGTAATCCTTCTCTGCCTTTGATCCAATTTGAATTTGTTCTGATTGAAAATATTTTGCTAGATTTTTATTTCTTGTTCCAAGTAAGATCTCAACAGTATTAACGGTATTTTGTAGGGTGCTTCCCCACTGGCTTGATATATCTCGCCTCGTATACCTTAGTGGCAGTGAATAAAGCAAATCTTGTCATATTTGACATACTGTAGTGGTCTGATAGTTGACCTGTGCATCCAGTTTTTGATTTTCGGCTTCTTAATTCTCATTATGCACTTTGGTATTAATTTCCACTGTGCAAGAAACTGCATTTTATATTTTAAAACTTGATAGCTTACTGTTACTTGTGTTCTGAAAGGAATCTGTCTGTCTGATGCCTCCTTATATTTGTTGTCAGAATTCATCAGTGTGCTGTTTAGTGTACATAAACAGTTAGCTAAAGTATCAAATTAGGTCATTCCCCAAATCAGTCATTCAGGAGTACTATTAGAGACTTCCCTTCAATCTCATAGTTCCCATTCTAATACAGTCCAGCTTTGCTCCATCTTACAGCCGCTGTTGCACCTTAAATGCTTGTATTAATCTCCACATTGTTGGAATTATCTTGTGTGGCACCCCACTGAAATATGCTGAGGTTCAGGTTAAATGTAGTGCAGTTCCTTTGTCTAGATAATCACAAAAATAATATCAGCCAACTTAAGTAAAATTTCCCATGCTGTGATTGATCCCTTTTCCATTTGTCTCTGTGTTTTTAATTACTATTTTCTTCAAAGCCTAGTGTAAAACCATTCAAACTGTTGAGGTCAGACTAAGAAGTTTTGTAATTGGCTGAACCACACACCCCTGCCAAAAGCGTGTAGTGCTGCATGTGGAGAAGTTCGCATTGAACCTTGGGCTATTTTGTTCTTCGGTATGAA